TTAAAATTAGTTACTATTTAAAGTAGGAACAAAAACTGTAAGATACCTAAAAACAAATCTAACTAAAGATGTGCAAAGCTTTTACGTAGAATGATACAGAAAGTCCTTTAAATGTAGTAATGACTGTCAAAATAAATGGAGAGATATAACATGTTTATGGAGGAAAGATTATTATTCATCCCCAAATTGACCTATAGATTCAACACAACTTGAATCAAAACCACAAAAGACTTTATAGAACTTGAAAATCTCATTCAAAAATAATTATGGATGAGTAAAGGGCTAAGACTGGCTAAAATAGTGATGTAGATGAAAAATAACATAGGGGCCTTTCTCTACCGTAAACCAAGACTTGTTAAAACTCAATTAGGTAGTATTATAGTCACTCACACAAAGCCAAATTGAATAGTAAATCGGGATAAAGAGTCCAGAAACAGCTCCTATGTATAGGAAACTTGGTTTATGATGGAGGTTGCTTGCTGATCAGTGGGTAAAGGATGGATTGCTTAATAAATCGCACTGGATTGATTATCCATATGAACAATATAAAGTTGGATCTCTATTTACATAATTCAAAAGAGTCAGTTCCAGAAGGAAAAATATTTGAATGAGAAAGGAAAAGCTGAAACATTTGTAGAAGAACATACAGGAGAATGCGTTTATGACCTCGGGATTTAGAAGAAATTTTTTAAAGACGACAAAAATGACGCAAACCGTAAAGAAAATCATTGATAAATTCATTTACTTCAAAATTAAAAACTTTATAAAAGGAAAGAATAAAAAAAGGGAAAAAAGCCACAAACCGGGAGAAGATATTTCTGATATGTAAAACTAGGAAAAGAATATTTTTCTAGAATATAAAATTGATGTGATAATTAAAAATCATTATGAAATAAATATACATTATAACAAAGCCAATAACATAAGAAGAAATGGGCAAAAAAAATTAAAAAAAAGACATTTCAAAGAAGATGAACCACTTATGACCAACAACTTAAACAAATACAAATTCGATCAACTTCAAGCGTAAATGATAATTACAATCACATAATAGTTCAAATCTACCAAATTGGCAAAAGTTAAAATGTTTATTAATATCAAGTGTTGATAAAGATGTAGAAAAGTGTAAACTTGTATACACTGCTGGTGGGAATATAAATTATTTCAAACACTCTGGACCCATATTTGGCATTATTCAATAAAATTGAAGAGACACATACTCCATGACTTAGAAAATTTACTTCCAGATACGTATCCTTGAAAATTTACTGCCAATGTCAACCAGAAGCAAGCTCAAAGTGGCATGGCTTATAATACCAAAAAACTGAAAATACCCCAAATGTTGTCAATACACATACAGAATTATTGCATTTTGGAAAGTGCAAAACTGCTATGTTGTTTAGAAATCCATAGTCATGCAGTAAAATTATAAAGATCAATAAGGTAATGATAAATACATAATTCAAGTTGGTGGTTACCTTAAGTGCCAAGGAAAAAAGGCGTCCGGTCTGGGAATGGGTACACAGCGGGCTTCAAAGGGATTTGTAGTGTTTTATTTCTAAGCTGGGTGGAGGGTAAGCAATGCTCATTTTATTGTAACTTTTAAAATATATACTTATAAATCTTTCCTGTATGTATTTGATAAAACATTTTTATAAACAAAAACGGGAGTAATGATGTGTTTTTCTTTCCAAGGCTGATAGAATTGGAAATCATTGAATATAGGTTTCCAAACAGAGTTAAATGAGGCGTTACTGGAAATTCTGTTATCGGAAATTAAAAAAAAATTAAGTTCCCTTAAAGGCTACATAAGGACAAAAAAAATCTTTTTGATTTTTCAAAAGTGGTGAACATGGTATGTAACTTCAAACAGTTTATATCAGATTGCTGTACTTTTCAGCTTGGGTTTCAAGTGGACAATGAGAATGGCTGCAGTTGTAACAAAAAGGATGAGTTGTTTGTTGGTTTATGCTTTCTTCTATCTGAAATGTCAACAGTAGAGCTATGACCTTCTGTGCTTAAACCAAGCCAGGATGGTTACTCAGGGCTTTCTAATCAGCAATCTGCACTCTGTTTTCCATTTGCCCTGCCCAAATGCCTCCCCACGTTAGTGATTGCTCTAGGGCAATCATTCCTCACTGGGAGAGCTGTGTCTTTATTGAGCCCTGAAAATGTGATTTGCGAGATTGGGAGTCTTCATAATCTTCCCAGCAGAAAGCTGCCTAAGGAAAGTAGGTAGCTTGAAAGAATTGTCTCAGCACCAGTTGCACAGGGATGTCTGTGCTGTTCCAGGGCTGGTGAATGAAAGAATATTTCCAGAAAGACATTTGCCAAGCCTCTGAATGGCTTTGCCATAACAAAATCAGCCTCATACTGTCTGGCTAAAGAGAAACCACTGTTATTAGCAGAAAAAAACAAATAGGGCTTATGCTTTTTCTGTGTTGGAATCCATTTCTTTTAAAATTATCAATTTGTTTGGCCATTTTCAAATAGTTTCTCTGATTCAATTGCTTCTTTGGCTCTCCAGAGTGGTGACTGCTGTAATAGATAACTCCCCTCCAGAGAGCATGAACTAACTTCACTTGGGATCAATACTGAGCAAAATTAAAATGGAATTTATGTGGTAAGATTTAAATTGAATTGATGTCTATGAGGAAACTCATGTATTCCTGCACAGTATGTCATACATATTGAGCATATTTTTAATTTTCCAACATTGTGATGTTATTTATAAAACATGCATTTGTAGTTTATGGCAGTTGACATAAAAATTATTTTTATGGTTTCTATAAATTTAAAATAAACAGAAAAGAACATGAAATCAGAAAAAAGAAAAAAAGGAATCAGGAAACAATCATGAAATCTTCCCTATTAAATCTTAGAGCAGATTTTCCCTCCAAGGATTAGAAAGCTTATCAAATAATCTCCAGACGTCCCAGATCCTTAAGAGGAAATGTTGTAAAATCACAGATTGCCACCTCCTTTCTGATTTGTTATGTGATTGTGGATGAACCATTTAAGCTGTCCTCTGTTCTCTTATGCTGTCCCCTTGAATAGGGTCTATAATTTATTGACATAGATGTTTGACAGTTGAAAAAGGATGATAAATAATTTTAGAGTACTCCTTGGCATTCTTGATTTGAAGGGAAATCTTCTTAAATCTCTGTTAAGCTGCAGAGTATTTGTCTGTCTTGTTGTTTCTATCATTACCTGACTCTATTTGTAGTTTTAACCATCACAATACCAAGTGACCAATACACTAACAAAAATAATAGCCATTTTGGGAGCCAGCCCAGTGGTGCAGTGGTTGAGTTCACATGTTGTGTCTCGATGGCTCCGGGTTTTCCAGTTCAGATCCCAGGTGTGGACCTATGCACCACTTGTCAAGCCATCCTGTGGCAGGCATCCCACATATAAAGTAGAGGAAGATGGGCACAGATGTTAGCTCAGGGCCAGTCTTCCTCAGCAAAAAGAGGAGGATTGGCAGCAGATGTTAGCTCAGAGCTAATCTTCCTCAAAAAAAAGAAAAAAAAATAGGCATTTCATTTTTTGGAAACAAAAATATTATTATGCATTTTTTGCATGCTTCAGGAAATGAGAGAGATGAGATCCTAAACATTGATTTGAGACTTCTACAGAAGCACACACATGAATATAGTTTAAAAACAACTTTATGCTTCAGATATATTATCTCTGTGAATAATAAAATGTGTGCAGTATTACTTTACCAAATTTTAAGAAAAATGGGTTTCACTTTAAATTTGTTCAATCACAATCACTCAAAAATGTACTTATTGAGCTCTTACTCTCTACTAGTCATTGCTAGATTCTGAGGAAAAAACAAGCAAAATATTTTTATCTTCAAAGAGGTCATAGACTCATGAAGGGGTCAAGCAATTACAGTAAATTAATAATATAGTAAGTGTGATAAATTATAGAGCTTTATTTAAAGCTCCATGGGAGCACAAATGGGAAACAACTGGGTCTTCCCAGAGGAGAAGGAATCAGGGAGAGTAGTAGAAATGTGCTATTTAAAGTGGATCTTAATAGACACCAGGGGATTGTAGAGGAGGGAAGGGGCGACCAGGAAAGAATTGTTTTAGATCTTCTGCTTTCTTTCATTTGCAAATGGCCAAGCCAAAATAATGATTGGCACAAAGCAAGGGTGGAAGCTGCTTGAGGCTCCACCTAACTCTTCATTTATGTGTTGTGTCGCTGGTGTTCCAGCCTTCTGACTCAGCTGGAAGCAGAAGTTCCACTCTAATTGGAGTTTTCTGTTTAGCCAGTGATTTGAATCTAATAAGAGCTCATAAACAGTTTTGTAATTTATCACTGGGTATTACATCTACAAGGTAGGCTACATTGCACTTTATATGACCTAAATAAAAGAAATAATTTGTAACAGGTAAACCAGGTATATTAAAATATAAAGTCAGTTGGCAAATACTTATTATAATAACTGAAAAAGCAGAGTATATTTCTTTTTTTTTCTTCTTCTTCTTTTCCCCAAAGCCTCCCCAGTACATAGTTGTATATTTTATTTGCAGGTCCTTCTAGTTCCGCTACGTGGAACGCCATCTAAGCATGGCTTGATGAGCTGTGCTAGGTCTGCGCTCAGGATCTGAACTGATGAAACCCTGGGCCGCTGAAACGGAACACTCAAACTTAATCACTCGGCCATGAGGCCAGCCCCTAATGTTTCATATTTAGTATATCAATGATCTAAAAATATGCACAGAAAATAGAAGAGAGAAGTGACAAAATAATAGTAGTGCCTCTGGGAGGTGGAATCATGGGTTTCTTTTTTCATACTTTTCTGAATTTTGTAATCTTTCTACTAACAACACTAATTTCTTTCAGTGTAATGGAAACTATATTTTATAGCCTTTTCAATTCAACAACATCATCTACTTATTTCTTTTTTGAAAGTGGGAGTTATTTTATGTCCCCATTAGATGGTGGTATTGGCGGAATTTCAGATTGTCATAAAGCAGCATTGTTTTGGATCCTTTGGCTTTCTTTCACTTGCAAAGACAAGGCTGCTGTCAGTGATTCCTCGGTTAGTTTTGTTTTTTCTTCCTCCCTCTGTGCATCTGAAGCTTATTTTGTGGTTAAAATGTTCCACTTCCTAAAGAGTCAGTTGTTACATGTGCTCTAACACTTAGGCCCTGAACTAACCTGAAGCTTGGCTCAAAAGAGGCAACCGCATTCTACAGGCTGCGCTACAAGTCTGTTGGCTACTTGGTTATCCAGCAAGCCTATAGTCATGCTTCAGGGCTTCCGTTCTGCTGCCCTCCCTGCTGCAATTGCACCTTCTGGTCTCATTGTATCTCAACTGCCATGGTGGTCTGTTTCTCTTTACCCCTGGCCCACAAGCGGCTCAGAGGATAGGATTCTCCTCCTTAATCACCAGTCACTTCAGCAAGGCTGGTCTGGTGTGGGGGAAAGTATTACTTTCCCCATTTGATGTTTGAAGACTTCTCTGTGGGAGCAGCTGGTTAGCGTCCCACCAATATAGCAGTAATTAGGAAGTAATACTACCAGAACCCTGCACTTTGGAGTGCATCTTGATGCCTCTGGCCACATTAGAGCCACGTTATGCCTATCAGCCTTCCTACAGAGATGCCAGCCTGGTAGTTTTAGTTTTCTCCCTCTTTAAGGATGCAAACACCATCTGGCCAGTGTGCAGCCTTAGTAGCCGAATTCAGTGGCATCTTTCCCTGCATCCGTGGATACAGTTCTACAGTTGCCTGTAGGTCTTCTCTAGTATGGGCTAGCACAGGCTGACTGCTTCAGTCCCTGGTAATAGGGCCATGTTTAAGGGTGGGGCATGGGACAGGGGAGGAACGGGACCTAACAGTTGTAAGTCAAGTAATTGCTGTGAAGGTTTTGCTTCATAATGTTGTTATAAGGAAAATGGGGCAGAGGCAATGTGTGCTGCTGAGGATGACAAGCAGAGACCCTATTTCCTCAATTACATGAGGCATCCTTTGCACCTTTCTGACCTCACAATGTGTGCTATGGGATATTAGGTGAAACAGGAGCCTGGGTGAGGGCAGCCTGACCCAGCAGGGGTCTCAGAGAGAGACAACAAAGATTTCATAATTTGAGTCATTTGTGGTGCTTTCTCTCTCCATATATATTCATTTTTCATTTTATATATATATATATATAGTCATCCCTTGGTATCCACGGGGGCTTGATTCCAGGACCCCTGTGGATACCAAAATCCACAGATGCTCAAGTCCGACTGCATTCATTTATGTATTTAATATAAAAGATCTCTTTTTAACACCAAACACCATGCCGATAGGAGTTACACAATGATGCTGTAATTTATGTTCTATGAGTTAGCTGTCTAGGTAGACTGTCCCCCTATACAAGCATAAAGCCACAAGAGCTTTCCTAAGTTGACAAATATACAAAATTAAAGAGTGAAAACATATTTTTCGCATTTTTTCGGTTTTGGAAAACTGATGATAAGTGTTGATCAGGGTAGAAACATTCATGTGTGGAACATATGTTAAAACAAGTCCAGGGGGGATGGGAACAGAATGTGTTTTTCAGGAGACCTATATAGTGTAAGTGTTGAATGAGATACGTGCTACTGAACATTTTTGATTCTAATGGAACTGGGAATTTCCAGAACTGCGGCCTCATCATTTCCCTCAACTATGATGGTTTCTGACTATATCTTTTCCTATTAACTTCAGAGTGTTTTCTTTGTTTCTATGGGGAAGTTTGCATTGATGAATATATTTCTTAACCATTTCTCAACCTTTTAAGTGACCGCTGATATAGCTCTTAGGTGGTAAATCCTTCTAACCTACCAAATTTATTAAATTTCTTTTTTGGAAAGCATACAGGTAGAAGAATTTTACGTAAGTTAAAAAATCTTTGTAATTTTTACCTTATGTGTTATTGATACCATCAAGTTAGAGGAATAATTTTGAAAGCTGGCCTGCAACAAAAAGAAAATACATAAAATGTGAGCCTTTGGTCACAAGCACTATTACCTTGGCCGTCCTGCCTCCTCCATCTCAGCAATCTTGACGGCCAGTATCCTTTTTGGGAGCTGCCCCTGGGATGGACTGTTGCTCTGCATGATAGAGCCTCCAGAAGTTAATGTCTCTCACCACTAGGATCTTTCCCCTAGAAGGCTCTGCGCAGCCCTGATCTGACCCCCATCTTTGTACCCAAACTTTCCCAATGCCTCTGGAATCCCTTCCTGTTTGTCAGCAAATTGTCTTCACCCTCATGTTGTCACAAAACTTTCCTTTGACTTCCTTGTCTGAACCGAAACCTGACTATCTTCAGAGGATACTGGGTTTCTTGCAGTACTCTCTGTGGGGGCAGGTTTCCCTCTCACATCCTCCTATCTCTGGACTTGAAAATAGTTTCATTTTCAGTCACCTACCTACTCACGGTCACTTCCAGATTGTTATCTGTCACTCTGCTTTCAATCCCTGTCCCCTAGCCCCACTGAACCTTTTTTTGTTCCTTAAACCGTCTCCGCTCTTTCCTATCTCGTAGACATATATATGCAGTTCCTTTCACTGGTGGGTTCTCTCTGCTACTCTCCAGTAGCAAGATCCTTCTCATACTTTATTCTTCAGCCTAAACTTCACCTCCTCACACAATCTTGCCTTGAACCTCTATTTCTAAAATAGCTATCCTGTCCCCTTATTCTGTATCTCAGGCCTCACTTGTTTCCTTTGTAGCACCTATTTCAAATCAAAGTATTTTATCAGTTGCTTTCTTTTTTATTGTGTATCTTCACCAATGGAAAGTGAGCTTCATGGGAGCAGGTACCATGTTCAGTTTTTTTCACCATTTCTTCACCCTGAGGCCTAGCATAGTGCTAGGGGAGTGCTGGTCACTCACAGGCACACAACATTTGAAGAGTAAAGAAATATGACTATTAGACTAAGGATATGCATTTAAGAATCAAATAAATTGTGGATACAAAATTAAAATACAAATCTCTGGAAGCGTTTTCATTAGAAGCAAAAATAAGATGTTTTAGGAATACCGTGATGGAATTTGGAGATTCTGGTAAATTTAAAATGGTGGGAGAGGAGGTGCTGAAGGACAATAACCTATTTCTGAGAGGGAGTAGCTGGAGATAGTGTGTGCGCTTTGAACAAGCATATTCAATATCTATTGATTATAATTTGCAAACAACAGAAAGCAAAGATTTCTTTAAATATCTTTGGATTGTATGAAGCCACAGAAGTTATGGGAGAAAGCACAGAAAGAGGCATGAGTTAAAGATCAAAATGCACTGGTTGACTTTCACTCTCAAATATGGTCTCATCCAGTCTTTACATTGGAACCACTTGGTTGTCAATTCTTGATTGAAATCTTTGAAGAATGCTCTAAATATATGTATTTGGTGTTTCTGAATGTTTTACTTTAGCAATCCGGAGTATAGGGGGACAAATTTGGCATTTTTAGGGTGTAAGTTGAAGTACCTATCTTACTGCAGAGAGCCATTCATCTCTGCACGAAGATTAGTTGAAGGAGCTGTGGGCAGTGTCAAGATACGGGCATTGTATAGTGTTTGGATTCCTTTTGGCTGTCTTTTGAAACATTGCAGGTTTATTGTCTGTCCCTACCTACCTTGCCAAGGGTGGAGATATAGCAACTGAATGCAAGTAGCCTTTTGTTAGAGCCAAGAGAGAAGATCAGTGCGTACAGCGTGTGCGCTTGTAAATCGTAAATTGTTCCCCAAACACAGTATATCAGGAAAAAAACCATTGGCAGTTTCCTTGAACAAGATGACTTCAGAGCAAATCAGCATTCTCCCTGTTTTAACGACTTCATCTTCCACAGTGCCTTAGAGTCATACATGTATTATTATCTCTACTGTATAATTATAATATTGTTATTTTCATTTTACAGATGACGAATCTGAAGTTCAGAGAGGTTAAGTAAAATTTTCAAAATGAGTGGTATAGCTAGTACTTAGCCTTTAGTTCTGCCAACTCTAGCTCTAGTGTTTTATGCTTTATCTGAACAGGAGGGATGGATGAGATAAACCATTTAACAGAGCTCATCTCCAGAACAGGTACTGACAGCATCTGAGACAAATTATACCTTGGAAGGATTGGCATCCTGTCCATCCTGAGTGAGAGATCAGATGAGTTGACACCTTTCTGTTGGAGATTTCATAGCTATATTGATTTCCCAGAGGTGTTTGCTACAGAGCATCACTATTACATATTGGATGCACTAGGAGAATGGCATCATTTAAGCCTGTCAGTATCTAGGGAGAAAACCCTTTTGGCTAATGATCAGGAATTTTTTAGACTGCAAAATATCCTCCTAATGGGAAAATGAGAGTGCTAAATGTAAATGTTGTAGATTATTTGGGTTCATCCACATGGTGTCAATGCCCCTGGAAGGGTTCAGTTTTCAGGCTGCAAGTCCCATTATTTTCTAAAAATGGGGTAAGCTATGAGAGAGCTGACAGTTTTAATTAGGAACCGAAGCTGATCTGTGGTTTCAGTGCAGGAGAAACAAGTCACTTATGTTTTCCAATACGTTATTCAATCATAAGTTCCACATTCAGAACTTATCTTTGGCTCATTTGATATTACAACATGTACAATTGTCCCTGTGTTGTAAAATAAAACATTTTATCCATGGATTCAGGCTTTTATCTCTGGATCTTGGGAGGGAGACTCTAAATCCTTGGGATTTCCTGGATAGTAAGAGTGTCTTTGTTATTCATGGGTCCCTTGGATCACTCCTGAGTTTACACTAATGAGGTGACCCATGGTAGTCTCCTAGACAGCTTCAGGAAGGAGGCTGGTAACAGGGCAATCACATGATTAGAGGGTTGAGACTTTGAGCCAACCCACTCTCCAGGGAGGGGAAGAGGACTAGAGATTGATTTTAATCATGTGGCCAAGGATCTAATGTAACTCCAATAAAATCTCAGGACATGAGGCTCAATGGAGCTTCCTGATTGGTGAACCCATCAGTGTGTTTGGAGGGTGATACGCCCTGATTCTGTGGGTTGAGAGCATGGAAGCTCTGTGTTAGGGAAATTCC